TTAATGTAAGGAATTTATAAAGTAAAGAAGAAGAAAATCCTTAATTTATAAGCTAGAAGATTATGATTATCTATATAATTACTTTGTAAGTACTGTATTATAATTATATTAATTGTAATATTATCATTATTAGAAAATTTTAATTAATTTATCATTATAGATGTTTATTCCTTTCCTATCAAGAAACTGTTTCAGCGAATAATGAAACTTTCAATTATACCTTTTATAAGAGCTTCATAAAAAATGTGGATTTAGCAAATAACGAAACCTTTAATTATACTTTGTATAAGAGTTCTATGGAAAATGCTGATTTATTCGAAGGCGATATTAGATTGGATACGTCATTTGGAGAGGTAATTTATAAATTTTTACACATTTAACCTTCGTTTGTTCATTTTTAGGACCTATTGTTTTTGGAGGTTCGAGGAAAAAGCGATGCCGGGATGCTCTTCCAATGATGTTTGTACCTTCTAATTTTTTAACAGAATCGCAAGACGTGTCCAATTCCCTGGTTAGGGTCTATCCATTAAGTTCTCTTGTTCACTTGTGTGTTACATATCAGAATTGCACGTTCATTATGAAGGAATTTCTCGGAAATCTTTTACGGTGACCTTGGAATCCAGACCTTGCCGAAGATCAAGAATTAGACGAATGAGAATGTGGCATCCCAATCATATGTGATCACCAGTGTAATTAAGATTTCTCAAATAGAAGAAACAATGTCTTGATATTTAATATTTTTATGCGTACTTTGTTTTCCGGATTTTCTGCTCCTTCCTTCTTGCAGACGCAAGAGAAGCCTTATGTAGTGCCCATTGTGAGTTTGTTCAGGTCCATGATGAGGGACTTGGCAAACCCTCAATGGGCACAAGAATTTTCGCGGATCGTTTGGGTTTTTATTCAAAATGGCGATGCTTTTCGTGGTATCTGTATTCGAACTGGCGAATAGATAACAGATGGCACAAACTTTGTAAAGTCTCTTAATATATATTCAATATTGTATTGATATAAAATTATATGCAAAAATTTTTAAAATTAATTAAAGAAATTTAAAATATTTAGAGTCGAGCAGTTGTACTGAATCAGAGTAAACTTTGGGATGATGGTATAATATATTACAAGTTTTCTCCTCGCTTAAGTACGTTATTTTGCTGTATTTGAAATAATTAATGATATCGATTGAAATAATAATAGTAGTTTCTACTAGATATTGGCAGAAAGATTAATTTAATAACAATTTTTCAAATCGTCGAGCATGTAACTTGCTTACGTTTTGTATATAGAAAAACAGAGGATGATTATATTTACATACAGGAAGGGAAAGGGTAAGAATATTGATACAGATACTTAATTATTTACGTCATATTTATTTTAATATATATATATATATATTTCAGATGTAATTCTATGGTTGGAAAGGAAGGTGGACGTCAGATTCTTAATTTAGGAAGTGGATGTTGGAACCTCGGAATAATATATCACGAATTAGGCCACGTTATTGGCTTGTATCACGAACACAATCGACCGGATCGTGATAAATATATAAGAATTTTATGGAATAATATTAGAGATAGTAAGTCATACTGTTCGATAAATTTTATGCATAAATAGTTTGAACTGATGACTTTTTTTAACAAATAGGTTATATCACGGGTTTTGCGTTGTACGACGAGAACGACTTGAGAATATGTGACGATTATAGTTACGATAGCATTATGCATTATGGTCCTAAAGCCTTCGCTAAATATGGTAAAGTAAGTTTCGAGCCAATTCTTCCAAATGTTACCATTAAAGAAACTTACGAATGGGAATTTTACTCAGAATCCGACATTAAATGTATTAACAAGTTATACAATTGCGAATAAATTCTGTTGTGAATATATAAATAAAATTTAGTTCATTATGTGAATTTTAATGGCAAAACTTTATTTTATACGGGAAATAATTAAATTTTTCCTTTTTGAGTGGTATTGAATATCCTAGTTCATACACAAGTATGTTTCGTAGCTCTATACTTAATTTGTCTAATATGGATTATTTATTTATAAATTAAATGAAGACACAGATTGTCCAAAAATTGGCTACCACCATTTATTCACTTAATTTATAAAAAAAGCTAGCTGTTACCGGCGACTTTGCCCACGCAGATTTTGCAAGCAAACCCCATTTATATTCAGTATTTCAACAACCATAGTAATTGTTATATAACACCTACCGCTGCGAATGATGAGAATTGCCGAGAATCAAACGAACTATCTTCAATTTGATCAATTTTCTGGAACGTTTACGATCGTTCTATAATCGAACCAATACGCAATAACAAATTCGAATTTAAAACGGTTCGAACATTTTTAAAATCGAAATAGATAAAAATATTTATAACATTGTCTGAAATGTTATCAATTTAATACACCTAAGTACTCAATGAAAATTAAACGTAGTTGAAAACGAAAAATCGCATCTAAAATACTTCAGTAGAAGCCGTTCTTCCGGTTAAGCCTTAATTCTCTCCCTCTCCCTCTTCCCCCGCGGAGGAATTTCGAAAAATTCCCTCTTAGTGTACGTTTTTATGACGTACCCTAACTGTGTACCGAATTTCACCTCTTTAGGTTCAGCGGTTTGCTCTGGGCGATGATGAATTAGTCATTCAGTCAGCCAAGACAAGTAATTTTATATATTTACATTATCATCATCCGACGAAATTCAACCACGGATTATTTATATTGTCTCGAAATTGATTTATGTTAGTGCCTACGAAGACAATTTATTTATGTACATAGCAACTTTGAGAGTTTTACGTAAGCGTCCTCTTATCTTATTATCGCGGAATGACCGGCATGCCGGTATATCCGAAACAGACCATGAAATCAGATATTTCCGTACGGTAAAAACCGCCATGCCGATTTAAGTGAGGTTATAGATCCCTGTCTAGAGAGTGCATTAGAAAAACGAACGAGTTTTTATTCTAAAACTGTGAAACTGTCAACGGTACACGAAAAACTACTATTATGTGTTTAATTTCTTCATTTTGTCTTCTTTCTAACGACTTAAAATACTCTTGAAATTCCGAAAGTGCTTATTTATGTGTTGTTTTTTTAGTTAAGTTATGGCAACGCAACACTTGGGTGATCTGCCTAGAGTAGGGGTTCCCAAAGTGGTCGATATCGATCCCTGGGGTCGATAAGAGTTCTCCAGGGGGCAATTAATACACGAGGGTCGAAAGGGAGTCGATAAATACCAAAGTGGATCAATTAAACTGTCTAAGAAAAAAATAGAATATTTCAATAAAAATTCGAAATATGGATATGATCAACAACATTACTGACTACCCTTGTTATAACTTGAGTTTTGCCTAAGGCTACGCCGCTTTAAGCATGTGCTACTCTGTTTTCACGCATCTGGCAACTGTACTAGTGTTACAAACATGTTATGAACGTTGGTAGTTCATTATACACAGACATACTTTGCACGGTTACATTCTAGTAGGGTTGTCACTCTAAGTATTTTATATCTAAATGTAGATATTTTGTCCTTTACAGAGAAAATATCGTAATATATCGAAGATCATTAATATAGTACAGAAGCCTTTGCAAGGAAAAAAACGTTACAATTGTTCAAGCTCGAACAATCATAATGGCCTTTCAAGTAAAAATGGAGCTATTTAAATCTTCACTGGCACATCCGATTTTAAATATTTTTCAAACTTGCGAAGAAAATGAAAATATAATCTCCATATGAACCGGGGAGGAGACGAAAGAAAGAAAAAAAATGAAAAGATTTCCGACCATGATTTGGAGATATATACTGTATTAAACATCTTGATAAATTAAGAGCACGATTCGAAGACTTGGAGAATATGCACGTTTCCGAATGGTTTGCTAATCCATTTGATGTTAAAATAGATAATGAAGGTAGTGAACCTGGCTTAGAAGATGAACTGATTGAAATATGTGTAGATCTCGAAGCTAAAGCGTTGTTTAAAAATAAAAACCTCAGTGAATTTTGGAGCAATAACAATATTGCCACTGAATATCCCAAGCTCAGAGCAGAAGCTGAATCTTTCTTACTCGCATTCCCAACTTCATACATGGTTGAAGCTGATTTTAGCCACGCCAACGCAATTTTGACAAAATAGAGGAACAGATCGAACTTGGAAAACCGTGGTGATTTGCGACTAAAACTTACCAATTTTCAACCGAATATCAATAATCTTGCCGCTTCTCTTCAGACACATCCATTCCACTAATATTAACTATTTTAATAGAAAGGTATGTTAACATATTTTTAAAGCATTCAGTAGTAGTCGCAAAATGACAGTAAGAGGTTTTTTCATCCGATATAACTTGTTATATTTTCAGAAATAATTGTGTAGTTTACGTATGACACGTACGGTTTAAGAACTATAGGCAAATTTCCATCTATCCATAATTTTGCTATTATTTTTTAAGATTATAAATCAGTGAAAATATCTCCATTTTCTGTTAATGTTATTGGGTGGATTTTATAAGATATGAGAACTATAAATTCTTTTGTTGGGTTGTTACGCGGGTCTCCTTATCGCTTAACATCAGAAATGCAAAAAATGATTTAATGTTTTTGTTAAATACATAATCAGGGGGTCGATAAGAAGGCAAATATTCTATAAAGGGGACGACGGGATAAAAAGTTTGGGGACCCCTAGCCTAGAGAAATGGTTTCCGGGATGTCTTTTATAAAGATAATTCGCACCTATTCGAGTGTTACAGACGTGGAGAAAACCCAGAAAACACTTGGCTAGCCCGTCCTGGCGAAGCCCGAACCCAGGACGAAACTCCCAGTGTTCGAGAAACAGAACCGCGGGTCGAGAAATCCCCTGTAATTTTACGGGGGTGGTCCGTTCAGATATGTCTGGTCCGTTTCTCACCACCCAGTCGCCCCATTGTGGGCCTGGCCGATTTTAATGGGTTAAGAGTTTAAAAAAAACTACTACTACTAATGTCATCAAGCAATTAATTCTTTTAGTCTTGTAAACGAAAACTCTCTTCCTGATTCCAAGTCAGTCAAATCTTACAATGTTATTATTTTATTGCTCTCGGAAAAACGTTTTCTGTAACGTTTAATTAACAACTAGTTTTGTTACATCTGATTAATTTAATTTTATATTTCAGTCGCATTTAACCGGCATGACGGTAACCCCGGAATTTCCGACACGCTGGTCTCCCCATTTATATGCGGCATGCCAGTCATTCCGCAAAAATACGATATGAGGACCAAATCACACGATACTTCGCAACATTCGTATCGCAACTAAGAACAAACTGTGTGGACAAACTTATACTTATTTGCGAGTATTTGAGGTCCCTAACAACGGGCTATAAATTTCCTGTGTCTAAACCTACTGTTTATATTAATAAAAACAAGTAAAACGGCAAAACCGTATTTGGAACAAGACTATGTCTCATAGACTCACTACTAAGCGCAATCACTTTGACAATCGAGGCGGATCTTGTTCTCATTCTCCAATCTTCTTTGGTATCGCTGTTTTTGGGCGCGATCGTTCAAACTTCGCCGGCCACCATGCATTTTCGGCATGCACCGGCAAATTTCTCTCCGTTGCGTGTCGGCCCGAGTTGAATTTTTGTCGATGCGTAACAAAATTTCTCGTTTTTGAAAAACTAATCGTGGTTATTTTATCCTCCGATATTATTATTTTTATTTTGTACAAACAATATACAGTTTAACCCGATTATAACTTTATCGGATGTAATTACGACACTAATACGTCAAATTTTTATCGGTCTCACAATTTTACTATACTGTATCATCTGTTCTGGTTTTAATTTTTTCCTTCCGTGTTAGGAAGATCATCAAAAAACCATTCTGAATCGACATACCATCAATCTAGGCCTTTCCGATGAGAAACAAACTATCAGCACGGAGTAATGAATTACTTTTGAAAGCTTGAAAAAAGAGGGCCGTTCTTATGTTGTACAAGCCGTTTACTGAGAAACAGACATCATTTCCAATATACTTAGAATCAATAGTGTTTCGCTTGTTTCTATATGAAATTAGAGACTTTCAAGGACCGCTAGAAAAGTCAATGCCGAATCTCCATCGAGGACGGTTGTGGATCTTGCGATCATCATTGTTTCAAATCAGATTTGATACAATGAGGACATTAATTTTTGCAATTTGATTTGTTACTTTGAAGTCAATTCAGAATTTCTGTAGAACAATGTATCAATATTCAATAAAGTAACTTATTTACATTCTTTTGTAAAGTGGTTAGAGGAAAAGAGTTAAGAGCTCAACAGCCGCAGAGCAGCATACTAGTAAATTAATTAAATAAGCATTTAGAAATGTTTCCCATATAAATAAATTTTTTGTAATGACAGTGCTGTAAAAAACGGGGAAACTTCCGTATAATAAACAACTTCTCTTTTTAACCATTTTTACTTTTTTGGAAGTAATATTATATTATACTAGCTGCAAGGACCCACTTCGCTGGGTTTTTATTTGTTCGTACATTTGTATATAGTATAGTTTTTTTTATATATATAAAAGACTGTTTTTCTAAGTAATCTAGAATCTAGCTGCAAGGACCCGCTTCGCTGGGTTTTTATTTGTGGGCAAAGAGTAACGATAGTGAAGATTAAGATAATTACGTTATAGCCAATCTTACCCGTTTTCACAAAATGCAAGAGTTAAGTTTCCCGTTTTCAGACGTTTCCAGAGAATTTTTACATGAGCATAAAAATATGTTCGATTTCCCGCAAAAGCGCAAAAAACCGCCTGTAAATCTTGCATGCCGCTTTATATTAACACTTCCTGGTCCCGATTCTATTTCTGAACGTCTCCTGTTCACGTCCAGTCAAACGCACTATTTTCAACGTTTCTGGAACGTTTACGATCGTTCTATAATCGAACCAATATTCGAATTTTATGTTCGAATTAAATTCGAACA